ACTTTGGACATCTTTATTAAAGACGACAAGATGTATAGGGAAAATACAATATTCAAGAAGGAGGGAAAATACAATATTCAAGAAGGAGGGGAAATACAATATTCAAGAAGGAGGGGAGCCGCAGTCACTAGGTAAGGGAGAGGGCGATCCAGTTACAATGTTCGAATTTTTTTTTGCTTGCCTCCTCCCTGAAAGGCAAATTCAAACAACATAAGTATTGCAATTAAATGTTTAGTTGCGTAAATTTATTGCCCCCTAATTTGCGCAAATACTAGCGATCACCAATGCTACCACGTCAGCACAGCAAATAATATCCTTACAGATGATTATAATTTATTCATATTCAGTCGTAAGATTTGGGAATTGGGGAGGATATGAAGTGACAAATCTACCTAACCAGGGCTAATTTTTTTTCGATGCCTTGAATTTCTTTAGATAGGGTTAATCACATGCATCGGATTTTTGATTATTAGTACTGTTCACTCTATTGCTCGAGGACAATTTGACAGTAGCTCTGACGGCGGTGTGGAGAATTTTGGTCGCCGAGCAGGTGATGTTCGCTGGTGGGGTTTAAACCGAAAGACTACCGTTCTAAGATCAGTGTATGAAACGAGGCTAATGTCACACGTCTAATACACTCGTTATAGGTGCTGATAATTTCAGCGGTTTTTTAAAGGCGGAGGTAAAGCAGAAAGGAAAAAAAGATTCCTTACTTTATCTACTTGGTGCCTTGTTTATATCCACGTGTACAGCCCTGCCAACCCATAAATCGTTTGTAACTTTTTCCTTGAAATTGTGTATGTTCTTGCGATTTTGGAGAGGGTTCAGAGGACTGTACGAGAATCAAAAAATTCTATCGTGATTTTATTTTTGTCGTCATCACCCAATTTAGACATGTGCCAAAATTGTGTGATGATCGAGCTCCGTTTGCTGCCCCCCTTCCTCTCCCCCTGCCTGCCCCCTTCGCCGCGTTCGTCCCGGTGGTGTCATTTTGACAAATGACGTGTTAGTCGCACGTGTGAACTTCTGTGTCACC